GGGTGTCTCGTGGAATGTTTCGCGGGGTGTCTCGTGAAATGTTTCGTGAGGTGTCTCGTGGAATGTTTCGTGAGGTGTCTCGTGGGCTGTTTCGTGAGGTGTCTCGTGGGATGTTTCGTGAGGTGTTGCCCAGTTGGGTCTCATGAAAACGTGTCCATGCTCCACATGTCTATATCCCTTTCCGGGTTCGTGGGTCCATCATGTTCCCGGAAAGGGCGGGGGCCCAGGGTTCTCTTTTAGTAGGTAAACCTGTCCCCCGGTGCCAACTTGAGGGAGGCCGGCGAATTTTTTCCTTGATAAATAACGAGGTCGAAGGAGGCCGGCGAATTAAAATTTGAGGATGTCTCGAGCGAAACGCTTGTTTTTGAAATCCCGATCGATAAATCACAGGGTGCGGCCCACTTTTTCGTGTGTTGAGGATGTCTCGAGCGAAACGCTTGCTCCGCAGAGTTTGCCGAGGATGTCTCGAGCGAAACGCTTGTTTTGCAGAGCCGACCGCGACGCGGAAAAGCGCCCCGCGCGAAGGAATTTCGCTGATGTCTCGACTAATTCCTTTGTTTTTGTACGATTTCCTGGAATTTTGGCAGGATGTCTCGAGCGAAATGCACGACCCCACCCTAGCACGACCATACCCCAGCACGACCACACCCCAGCACGACCAGACCCCAGCACGACCCCACCCCAGCACGACCCCACCCCAGCACGACCATACCCCCGCACGACCACACCCCAGCACGACCCGACCCCAGCACGACCCTACCCCAGCAAGACCACACCCCAGCACGACCACACCCCAGCACGACCTCACCACAGCACGACCACACCCCAGCACGACCACGCCCCAGCACGACCACGCCCCAGCACGACCACGCCCAAGCACGACCACACCCCAGCACGACCACACCCCAGCACGACCACACCCCAGCACGACCACGCCCCAGCACGACCACACCCCAGCACGACCACTCCCCAGCACGACACACCCCCGCACGACCACACAACCCCAGTCAACGACCACCCAGCACGACCCACCCCAGCACGACCACACCCCAGCACGACCCGATCGATAAATCACAGGGTGCGGAGCACCCAGCACGAACCCACCCCACACGACCCCATCCCCAGCACGACCCAACCCCAGCACGACCACGCCCCGCAGCGACCACACCCAGCACGAACCCACCCCAGCACGACCCCACCCCAGCACGACCCCACCCCAGCACGACCACGCCCCAGCACGACCACACCCCAGCACGACCACCCCCCAGCACGACCACTCCCCAGCACGACCCCACCCCAGCACGACCCCACCCTAGCACGACCACACCCAGCACGAACCGCACCCCAGCACGACCTTAACCACAGCCGACCACACCCCAGCACGACCAACGCCCCGCACGACCACCCACGCCCCAGCACGACCACGCCCCAGCCACGACCACGCCCAAGCAACGACACGACCACGCCCCAGCACGAACCCCCAGCACGACTCACCCCCCCAGCACGACCCCCCCCCAGCACGACCACCCCCCAGCACGACCACACCCCAGCACGACCACTCCCCAGCACGACCACACCGCCTTGGTTGAGTGGTTGCCTGTCGTCGTGGAATGTTTCGTGGGGTGTCTCGTGGAATGTTTCGCGGGGTGTCTCGTGGAATGTTTCGTGAGGTGTATCGTGGAATGTTTCGTGGGGTGTCTCGTGGGATGTTTCGTGAAGTGTCTCGTGGGATGTTTCGTGAGGTGTTGCCCAGTTGGGTATCGTGAAAACGTGTCCATGCTCCACAATTCTAATATCCCTTTCGCCCGGTGTTCGTGGTCCATCATCGCCGAAATAACGTCCCTCCCCCCCGCCCCCCCCCCGTGCCGCGCACTGTGCCGCCGGCCATAATTTGCAACCCCCCCCTCTTGGACGCCCCCTCTTGGCCGCGCTCCCGACTTCTCTCACCTCTCGCTTCCCCCCCCCCCCCCCCGCTCGCCCCCGAGAGGGGCCGGGGGGGCAGCCGCCCAGACCGAGGCCCCGGGCCAGGCGCAGCGGAGGATCGGGAAGCTGAAGAGCTTCTCCCCGGCGCAGGGCTACGGCTTCATCTCGTGCGAGGACGCCCGCGGGCGTGCGGGGGGGGGGGAGCGCAGGCCGTGCCCTTGGGCCAGTCCTGGGAGCCTCGTGCCTGCCCTCGAAGAAGACTCCGCCATCCAGGGTGCCTTCGCGTGCGCTGGCGCGCGACGTCGATGAGCGTCGATGCAGCGCCGATTCGTGAGAGCCAGCAGCAGGGTATGTGACAGGCTCCCGTGGGCTGCCGCAGACGGAGAGGGCCAGGGGCCCCGCGCCGGCGGAGGCAAAACGGCGGTGGGATCAACCCGGCGGGAGCCCGGCAGGCTCGGCGCCAGTGAATCGACGGGGGTCCGAGCAGATGGGGTCGGTGGATCGCGCCGCATCGCCGATGCATCGGCGATGCGGCTCGATGTGGAGCCCGAGTTTCTCCACGCCGACGCTGCCTGCGCCTTCGGCATCCTCCGCGACTTCCTCTGAGGACCGTCGCCGCTGGCGGCCTCCCGCCAGGCGCTGCTGGGCCTCGGGCGGCGCGCTGAGGCACTGCTCCGCTGCTCCTTCCTCCTCCTTCCTCAAACCCAGGGGCGCGAAGCCGACGGCGCGCCGCGCTCTTCGCCGCGCGAGAGGCGCGCAGGCGCGCAGCCAGCTTGAGTTCGGCCCAGGACATCTGGCTCCCCCTCCCTCCACCACTCCTCTCTTGCCCCCCTCTCCTCCTTCCTTTCCCCCCTTCGCTCCCCGCCCCACCTCCGGCCCCTCCAGCCTGCCGGGCCTCACGGGGTCGCGCGAGGGGTGCGAGGGCGCGCGCCCGTCCTCGAGTGCGGCCCTCGGCCGCTCAGGACGTGTTCACCGAGTTCCAGCGGGACACGTACTTCGACAAGTCGCAGCTCCCCAAGAACCCCTACCGGCTCGGGCAGACCGTCGAGTTCTCGGTCACCGCGAACCCGCGGGGGCAGCCGCAAGGCCGCCGTGCCCCGAGCGCGGTTGCCCACGGGCCAGGGGGGGAGGAGGAGGAGGAGGAGGAGGAGGGGGAGGATGAGGAGGAGGAGGAGGAGGAGGAGGAGGAGGAGGAGGAGTGTAAACCCAATATTCGCCAACGATGTTGGAATAAGCCCTCTCCCAAGCTCCTTCTTCATAGGCCTCATTGGAAGACAACCTTTTGCTGACGCTGAAGTAAGCCAAAACATTGTTCTCGGTATTCCAACGCCACGGATCAACCTGACTGTTGCGTCTTGACGACGCTGAATCGTGCCAGAACGCAATTCCTGGGACTTCAACACCGCGGATATTATCGTAACTGTTGCGCCGTCGTAACCGTGAGTCCTTCCACAACACCATTTCTGATATTGAGCATGGGTATCAATGGACCTTTGTTTGCAAGAATGTGCGCGTCGCTAAGGCGAGAGCCACACATTTTGAAAACGACCTGCCCTCAATCCGTGAAGCCCTTGCAAATTTTGAGAACGAATGTGCGCGGCGTTAAGGCGAGAGCCACACATTTTGAAAACGACCAGCCCTCAATCCGTGAAGCCGTTGCAAATTTTGAGAACGAATATGCGCGGCGTTTTGCGAGAGCCACATGTTGAAAACGATCCGCCCTCCATCTGTGAAGCCCGTGCAAATTTTTAAGCTTCAGGGTCGTAAGTGGTGAGGAAGTCTCAAGCGATACGCCCGGCCCGCCCTCAAAACTGGTTTCGGTGTGCGACAGGGAGAAGTTCTTCATCACAAGAAGGAATGGAGGAGGTGGACGAGGAGGAGGAGGACGAGGAGGACCAATGTAAACCCAAGACCCATCAACGATATTGCAATAACCCTCCCTCCAAGGTCCTTCTTCGTAGCCCCCTACACGGATTCATTTTACTGAGGGAGGTACCCCGTTGGAAGTTTGCAAATCCAGAATTGTGCCAGAATGCCACTTCTGGGACTTCAACGCCGCGAATCGCCGTTACAAGTGCCTTGACGGTCCTGAATCGTGCCAGAATGTTATTCCTGGGACTTTTTTTCCCAGAAAGGGCGTAGGCCCAGGGTTCTCTTTTAGTATGTAAACATGTCCCCGGTGCCCAACTTGAAGGAGGCCGGCGGATTCTTTCCCTGATAAATATCGAGGTCGAAGGAGGCCGACGGATTAAAATTTGAGGATGTCTCAGGCGAAACGCTTGTTTTTGAAATCCCGATCGATAAATCACAGGGTGCGGGACACCTCAGCACGACCACACCCCCAGCATGACCACACCTCAGCACGACCACATCCCAGCACGACCACACCCCAGCACGACCACGCCCCAGCACGACCACGCCCCAGCACGACCACACCCCAGCACGACCACACCCCAGCACGACCACACCCCAGCACCAGCACGACCACACCCCACCACGACCCGATCGATAAATCACAGGGTGCGGACCACCCCAGCACGACCACACCCCAGCACGACCCCACCCCAGCACGACCCCACCCCAGCACGACCACGCCCCGGCACGACCACACCCCAGCACGACCACACCCCAGCACGACCACACCCCAGCACGACCCCACCCCAGCACGACCCCACCCTAGCACGACCACACCCCAGCACGATCACACCCCAGAACGACCACACCCCCGCACGACCCCACCCCAGCACGACCCCACCCCAGCACGACCACACCCCAGCACGACCACACCCCAGCAGGACCCCACCCCAGCACGACCCCACCCCAGCACGGCCCCACCCCAGCAAGACCACACCCCAGCACGACCACACCCCAGCACGACCTCACCACAGCACGACCACTCCCCAGCACTACCGACGGCCTCCATCACGACACCCCAGCACGACCACCCCCCAGCACGACCACCCCCCAGACCACCCCCACACGACCACCCCCAGCACGACCACACCCAGCACGACCACACCCCAGCACGACCACTCCCCAGCACGACCACACCGCCTTGGTTGAGTGGTTGCCTGTCGTCGTGGAATGTTTCGTGGGGTGTCTCGTGGAATGTTTCGCGGGGTGTCTCGTGGAATGTTTCGTGAGGTGTCTCGTGTAATGTTTCGTGAGGTGTCTCGTGGGATGTTTCGTGAAGTGTCTCGTGGGATGTTTCGTGAGGTGTTGCCCAGTTGGGTATCGTGAAAACGTGTCCATGCTCCACATGTCTATATCCCTTTCCGGGTTCGTGGGTCCATCATGTCACCGCGAATCAACGTGACGGTTGCGCCCTGACGTTCCGACATCGTGCCAACACGCTACTTCTGGGACGTTAACCATGAGAACCCCTGAAGCTGCTGTAAACTCTTGAGACGAATGTGCGCGGCGCTCGGGAGCCACATTTTGGAAAGGAGCCGCCGTCTATCCGAAAATATACGGCAAACTTTCAGACGAGTGTGCGCGGCGCAAAGGCGAGAGCCACATTTCGAAAGAGGCCGCCCTCCATCGGTGAAGCTGTTGCAAATTTCAAGGTTCAGGACCACGAGTTGTGGACAAGTCTCAGGCGAAACGTCCGGCCCGCCCTTTCGATTGGCCTCGGGGTGCGGCGGGGTAGAGTATCTATGAGTGGACGAGGAGGAGGAGGAGCAGGATGATGATGATGATGATGATGATGATGATGATGATGATGATGATGATGATGATGATGATGATGGTGCTGATGATGATGATGATGATGATGATGATGATGCTGATGATGATGATGATGATGATGATGATGATGATGATGATGATGATGATGATGATGATGATGATGATGATGATGATGATGATGATGATACGATGATGACGCCGATGACGAAAACGACGATTACGATGACGATCATGATGATGCTGATGATGCTGAGGAGGCGGAGGAGAGGGAGGAGGAGGAGGAGGAGGAGGAGGAGGAGGAGCAGAGGAGGAGGGGAGGGGGGAGTAGGAGTAGGAGGAGGAGGAGAATGGGAGGAGGAGGAGGAGTAGGAGGGAGAGTGAGGAGGATGATGGAGGAGAGGTAGAGGAGGAGGTCCGTAGCCATTTTGGCTCAAGGCTCTAACCTACCCTGGGGTTAGAACCTTGCTGAAGGCGACAGGGAGGCCCAAGCCTCCCGAGGACAGTCCTCGCTATTGTGTACTCACCAGCTACATCCCTCGTTTTGGCTTCTCATCTTGCAGAGGCAAGAGGTATTGCATGGCGCCCCCCGCCAGCTCGCAGTACAAGGATGTTTTGCTGGGACCAAAACCCCCCCCTCTGGGAGTGCGGTTCCTGTCACCGAAAGGGGAACTGGGCTCGGAGGGTGGTGTGTCAATGTGGTGCGAAGGCCCCCCAGAAAGTCTGTGTTGCGGCAAAGAAGGCCCATGATAAGGCCTTGGCTGAGAAGAAGACAGGAGGAGGCGGAGGTGGTGGAGGAGGAGGAGGAGCTCGTTCCCCACCCGTCAACCGCTGGGCTGGAGACGCCACCCTGGCACAGATCCTCAAACAGCTGGAAGGCCTCGAAGCTCGCTCATCACCGTCCCCACCCCCAACGTCTGAGGGAGGAGGAGGTCGAGGAGGAGAAGGAGGAGGCGGCAGCGCTGAGGAGGCAGGAAAGCAGGAGGAGCAGGAGGATAAGGTCAAGTCCATCCAACTTCGTCTCGCTTTTTGGAAGAACAGTGCCAGGCTCGCGATCTGCAACACCGACAGGGAACTTGCCGATACCAAGGTCACGGAGCTGGATGCCCAGCTCAAGGTTGAGCGCCCGTGGGGCGCCGCTCAGCTCAGTGTTTCTCAGCGCCTGGAGAAGGCGAATGCTAATTTGCGTGCTGTCGAGAAGGCAGCCAAGGCTACGGAGGATGAGGTTCGACAGGCAAAGATTATTTTGGAGAAACAGGTCGCTTTGTCGGTTCAGAAGGTTGAGGAGGCAAGGGGGGAGGTGGCAAAGCTGGAGGAGGAGGCTAAACAGTCGTTGCTGCGTCTCGTTCAGCCGCCCTCGGAGCAGGGCCCTGCTCTCAGCTTCACCTTTGCTGGCCAGGCCGCCGAGGTCGCAGGCAAGCATGGGGCAGACTTTGCCCAATGGGTCACGCAGGCCAGTCAGTCCCCGCAGATGGGACAGCTCATGCAGGTCTTTCAGGCCCAGTTGCAAGAGCAGTGGTCTGCCCAGATGGCCGCTGTTGCTGCTAATAATGCTAAGTATGTTTCTGCCAGGCAGTCTTGCGCACCAAGTGAGGCCTCCGACGATGATGAAGACATGCTCCCAGAACTCGGGCCCGAGGATTGGAAGCCCTTGGCAGAAGCAGCAGCAGCAGGAGGAGAGGAGCATGCAGGTGGAGGTGGCGAGGCGGCTGGAGAGGGAGGAGGAGCAAAGGAGGAGCAAGCAGCCAAGCGTAAAGCTAAGGTTAAGGAGCTCCAGAAGGTTCTTTCTTCCAAGGGCATCGTCATCAAGAGAGGAGGTAAAAAGTCTCGGGGGTAACAGCGCTTCCGAGGCCAGTTTTGACCTGGATGGTTCCCGTCCAGAACGTCGAATTCGTGCGCCCAAGCAGCGGCGCAATCAGATGGAGCTTGGGTTTTTCAGCTGTAACGGTAACACTTGGGAGACAAGTCAGTCCGTGCTGGATTGGAGGGCCGCCAGGTCTGAGCGTGCTCCACACTTCCTGGCGTTGCAGGAAACACGTTTGAAGGATACCGCTAAGGTGCAGTCGATGCTGTCATCGCTGAGGCATTCAGGTTATTGCGGCTACGCAGCTGCAGCAGTTTCCACTGGGGAGCATGGTCTGGCTTCTTCGGCGGGTGTTCTGGTGGCCTCTAAGGCCCATATTGCCAACATCGGGGTCCAGGACTCGAACTTCCAGCACTTCAGGGCTTCTGGGGCAGGCCGGGTTGTGGCGACTAAGGTGAAAGCGGTTGTTCCGAGGGGGACGTTATTTCTGTCTGTTTATTTCTACGATTCCATAGGCTGTAAAGGTGCTAATTTGGATCTCTTAGAAGGGCTCGGGCTGTATTTTCACCAGTGTGATGTTCCGTGGGTGGTCGGTTGC